CGTTGTAGGCGGGTGTGGGAAGCGTTCCCCGTTCTCCTTTTATTTTATTTTGATCGGTCTCCTCGACGCTCTTTCTCGTTTGGTGCGGTAGCTGGTCTTTCTTTCTATCATTTTGTTTCTCTTCCGAGTGGTTTTTGTACCCTATTTTTTTCTGTTTCTTCGTGGGGTCGTGTATGCCGGGTTTTGAGACCACGGGCTCCCAATCTTTCTTTTTTAGAGCTAATGTGAGAAACAACAACAACAAACAAAACTGGTATCTACTACTGCAGAGATGGACATTCCACCACCTTCGCTCTGGGGGCTACCGCTGTACCTTTTTCTTCGGATGGACAGTCTTTGTCTTCATTCAATTTTGGGCATTTCATTGTGTTTGTTTCTTGTTGGCAGGAGAAAAACCCACTTGGAAGGCCGCGAAAGCGCTGTCTCGTCTCTGTTGTTCATTATCTCGGGCTGTCATGTCGGTGGTGGTGAAACCAACGAGTCCAGCCTGATCTATCTGTTGTTTTTCGTGCCACGCCCCCCGCATGCAGTTAGACAAAACAAGATGCCGGCAAGGTACATATTATTGGTAACCCCGTCGCCCCATGGGGGATGGTCTTGTTGGATGTTTGAGAGACAGCGCCATCTATGCACGACCTTCTCCGCAGTCTGGATTCCCTCGGAAAGTTGGTTGAATTTGTGTCGGGCGCCCGTGGATACGGGTGTCCGTGGATTATTTATTTTTTTCTTGCACCCGCAAAATGTTCATTGTAATCTCACGTACCGCAGGTGACACGAGATATAACACCCCCTGGACCGATTTTCAAAGCTCGATTACTCGTTGGTACGAACACCATCCATGAACTAAGCGATACGTTTTCGGAATGCTCTCGACGAGACGGCTTCAACGCCGCCGATTTAGGCGCTGCCACTCTTTCTGGTGTGGAGAAATGGAGCTTCGAAAATCGGTGCGGGGTGGTTTGGTATCTTCCGTCATGTCACGTACGGTATGCTGGTAGGCAGCAGCTCTTGGCTTATGCACAGCAAAAGTAGAGGTATCCCCCCCTTCCTTCCAACACCCGCGACTGCTTACACACAAGAGGACTTGAAGGAAATCGCTTGTTTTCGTACCGGCTCTGTTCACCGACCGCGTCCCCGCTTTCCACCTTGTAAATCCCACGCAGTGTTCATCAAGCGATATGTAGGGGACGGCGTTGCAGGAAAATCTCCAGCTACATCTGACAAGGCACCAGCGGGTGCTGCAAGTGGAGCACGCGAAGTGCCGGTCGCACCGCTCGCCGAGAGCGTGCCCACAAAGCACGTGAACCACGTCAGACCAGCGATTGACGACCCGGTACGTTGGTAGTCAGCAAGGCAGGCGGGGGCCAACTCCCCCCGGCGACTGCTCTCCTTTTTCAATGTTGGCCTGATGGGTTGATGACTGAGTAGGGCGCAAGGTCACGAAATTACGGTAAGCGCCGGATGCTGTTTCGTGAACCTGTCGACACCGCCACCCCCTCCACTTGTTGTTGTTATTGCATAGGAAGTACTTCGTTATTTGATTACCGTATTAGTCGGAGAGATGGCACCGGGTGCGATCGTTTTTTTTTATGTTTATTCCTCGGGTGTTTTTATCGCACCCCGGTGCCATCTCTCCGACCCCGGCGCGGAAATGCAATCAGATCAGTTCGTTTAGTATATTCAAGGCACCCCGGTGCGATCTCTCCGACCGGTGCAATCCCCGATGAAATAGACAAAGGTGTTGTACGCACGCACCCCGGTGCCAACTCTCTGTACCACCAAGTGTAGGTACCGTTATTGCTGGTTGGAGTCGCACCGACCGGTAACGGCGACGTAGGCTGGTACGTAACCGCTTTCCATGCAGCAAGTGGTCTTGTGTTTGATGCGAGTTCGGCTCTGGCTTGACGACAACAATGTCGTTTCCATCTGAGGTACCGGCATACGGTATCAGTTACCTCACGCTTTCGTTTCGGGCTTCCTCTACGGATACCAGTACGCATGCAGCAGTCTGCACTCGTAGTTTTGTCGTGTTGTGCAACGTGGGGTAGGGTGCGGCTTGCGCGTTGTGTGTTTCGTTGAGTGTACGGTTGGCACAATCATACCAATGAAAACGACTGGCATCCCGCGTGAAACCGCGACCATGCATACGTACATTTAGGAGTAGCGCTCCGCTGACACCGTCCCCACATGTAAACGGTACGCACATGTACCTCAAAAAGGAGCTCAGTCTTGGATTTGGGGGTCAGATAGATCGCACCCGGTGTGATCTCTCCGACCCCGGTGCGTAAATCGAACTAAATCATGCCGTTCTTGTATTTTTCTTGGCACCTCGGTGCCATCTCCCCGACCGGTGCCATCTCTCCGACTATTACGATATTTTCAGTCGCGTGTTTCCGAACAACAGGGTTAGTATTGTCATCGCCAGGAAAGACCGGAGAAAAGCGAACAGCCAGCGTGTTGACCTAAAGCGCCACACGCCTGTTTCGCTCTTACGTTGCATGCGGCACACCCAGACCTCACCTCTAGTCACATGCCTGTTGAACTCTCAACAGCAGTCATGCGGCGCGTTTTTTGCTACAAGTTGTTCGTGTGGGGGGGGGGGGGGTC